TTTAAGGATTCTCCAGAAAATCACACTGTTCATTGGTCAGCTTTAAGAATGTGCAGCTTCCTTTTGAAATGTGTTAAGAAATCTTTCAGGGGAGATGTAAGGCAATAAGGCAATTGTTAAACTTTGGCCTAAACTTCTGGAAAAACACCATATACCTTGCTCAAGATAGCCTGTTTTGAGCAGTAATTTTGACCAGGTATCTTCAAAAGTCCCTTCCAACCTAAGCCTGCATGATTCCATAATGCAAGTAATGAATTTTGTGATCTTATCTTAGTACTACACCTCCTGTTTGGTATGGACATATGGGTATAGGGGTAGAAAAGAAAGTGTGTCTTATATACAGCAATGTACACAGCATTATGAGAATGCTGGTAACACAGTCGTATTAACAGCTTGTCTTCCTTTGAGAATTCTCGATGAGGACTAGTCTTAAACTTCCAATATTGAGCTGGAAGCTTCAAAGCGTGCAGCATTATTCTATGTATTTTGTAGACTGATAGTGCAAAAAGCATTATAGAATTCTTTAGCTTTATTTCATATGCAAGAAGAACACTCAGCATTTGTATTTTCATCTATACCATACATGGACTTTGTAATCATAGAAAGGTACAACCAAAAACAAGCATAAAACTATTAAGTAGTATTTTTTATAACTGCTTTTCCTGAAGGGTAGCTACCTGACAAAGTTGAAACTCAATGTTTTAAGTGAAAATAATTGTTCTTACTGAAAAGTGTTTTGACCTATAAATGATAAAGACTGCAGAACAATGAAGAAAGCCTTTTAACTATTGTGCTTTTAGTTATATTTGACAGTTCTGATCTAAACATTTCATAAGAACTGACATACATTTTCTTTAAAAAACGTTCTTAGTTCTGAGGCAGACAGTTTAAATAACAGCTTCATTCCTAAAACAATCTGGAGTTCAAACAACGCTGGTAAATTCACATGTGTATGAGTGTGATCTGTTGCATGAATTAAAAATTCTTTCATATTACTTGTATGTCGTAGTTGATGGTTCTCTTACATGAGAAGATGTTACTAGACAATTTCTGTACAGAAATTCTCTATTCTGAAAATACTCAGAAATGGCAGAAACCTTCTTTAACTTGATTGTTAGAGGCAGACTCCATAGATTTTTTCTTACCAGAATACTTATGGGACTGAAAGAATAATTACCAATATTGCCAATTTTGAATGAGAGAAAGGCTCAAAAGTTTTTCTTTTCACCTACATTTAGCAGTGACTTGCATAAAGTAACTATTACAAACAGTTGCCTGCATAAAAAGACGCAAAGCAAAACGAAGCTTTAAGAGTAGCATCCAGCAAATTCAGTGGTCAATTTACACAGCATTGGATAAATAGCCTGTTGAGCACTGAACCTGACTCTCGCCCAGCAGCGCTTGCATTCCTCTTCATATTGTCCTCTGGGATGCTCTGTGGAGCCAGCCTGACTCCCTCCTTTTAAGTGAGCAGCAAATGGAGGAGGGGGAGCCAGGCTCAGTGCTAGTTACATTGACTCCTTTCTTTCTAAGTTGGTAACAGAATTTTGGAAATCAGCAGCATTGTATTGTAAGTTGGCACCGTTAGCAGTACACTCTACTGCTGATAAAAAGCAGGAATTGTTGAAAGTAACATTTTTATAACTAAGGTATAGTTAAATGGCAATAGACTGCCAGGGCAGGGAAGCAAGTGAGAAAGATTTCAAGTGCTAATGAAGAAGAAGAATGGTATCTTAGGAGAATGGAGAATGAATTAGAAGGACTGAAAGAAGCTACATTTCATGACCTAGAAGAACAAGCAAAAAAAGATAATGTCTGGTGAATATTCATGAAGAAAAAAATCCTGTTTTGTGCTGGTTCATTGAAAAACAGAATTATGCTCCAATGGTCATTTTTACTTCATTTTGCTAAAAAATAATGGTTTTGTTTATTTATTTCTAATTCACGCCAAATAGAAGTTGTTTTGCATCCCGATTGTCCTTGCTAGTAGTTCTTACTGCAACAGATCAGTTGCTGAGATTTTCTAAGATTCCTTTAAATGTAAATAGTGAGGACCTTGCCTGTCTCACAATATATTCATGGTCACACCCTTAGTTAATTTGGTTTCCTACAGCATACCCAATCTCCTAAAAGGTGCCTCAGGGCTGCAGTGATGCTATGGACTATATGCCGATGTTTTAAATTAAAAACAAAACAAAACTCTTCTATTCATTTTATAAAACATGTTCTTCTTTTGAAGTTACAGTAGAGGTTGATAATTTTTTTTTTAAGTGCAGTGCATTATAAACAAAACTTGACTGTTACTGTTGGAAAAAAAAATGAGTCAGACAGAAAAGTACTTGTATGTCCTAAATACTTTTTTATTTGCTGTTCTCTTGCAGCACTGCAGAGCTGCTCAGTAGAAAATGGAAGTAACTCTTCAAAATTAATGAGAACTGTATATTTTGCATATACTAATTATAAGCAGTGATGAAAAATAGAATTATTTTGACAATCAAGATTACATTTTACAAATACCTACACTGACAGATTATGATTGCTACAAAAAAATGCATCTTCTCAACAGTCTGTAAGTGCAGGATTGTTATATAATTAAACTCAAACCTCAAAGCCAAAATAATTTGTACTCATATCATAGGATTGTGCCCAGAGTTGTACTAATGATTTGATAGCGTCTTTGCGTAATATTTTTGCTAAAACTCATGTGCAAATCCTTTATTAAGATAATAAATGAGACTGGCATCCTGAGAACATTGTTGTTCTTTGCACACTAGCATGTTTCAAGTCTGCATGCAGTCTGACAACTCATGACACAAAGTTACCGTCATACTGATCTGTCCAGATGGTGTTAAGAATGTTTTTTAAGTGATCTTTTATTTCTTTAGTTGCCTTGTCTAAAGCTTAAATGTTATGTTTTTATTGCCAAATGCTGATTTTAATTGTTTAATTTTATTTTTTTATTCGAGCATTAGATAATACTATGAGTATTGTAACTACTTGCTATGTGGAGCTAGTAATACATAAGAATTATTATTTCCAAACAAATAACTGTATTTTTCCAGCTTAATTAATTAAAAGAATTTTAGGTGATATCTTGAAATAAAAGGAACACTGAGGGATTGAGTATCAAAGATGTTTTGTTAATAAATGCAAAAATATCAGTTTTTGCGTAAGTCAGGGGTTACTCAACTCTTAGTCAAGGATGTACCTGATTTCAGTGAATTGTCTTGATCAGAAGAGAAGGAAACCTGGATAATTAAAGAGCTTTAAGAGCTTGTATATACTCAGATTTATTTTTCTAATAGCACATAGTAGGACACAAAGAGATTAGACTAATCTAGCAGTAGTAACTTTTTTTGAGTGAACTGTTTTCTCTACTGAATTATTTTCATATTTATATATCCCACTACCCATCAAAACTGGATTAGTATTTCAACAGGAAGGTGCCAACGCTTTGTCAGGATTACATTCAGACATATGGAGACAAAATGAAAGTAGACATGTTGAAATGCTAATACTAGGGCAAAACAACATTTATAAACACTAATTTCCCTAACAGGCAGATGCAATATACAGTGTCCTTCAGGAGAAATTATCAAGAATATAACATTAATGAAACAGCAAGAAAGCAATTGACTACTTATAAGTGGTAGACTTCAAAAAAAGATGCATCCTGTATGTTGGACAGCAGCATTATGTATTTTAATGTCTGAAGGAAAAACTAAATCCATTTGTATTTAGATGTAATATGGAAATATGTACTTATGCTTCGTAGTTTATACAGATTTCAACATTCAAAGTAAAAACAGAACATTAAATTAAAGCAGAAATAAAGCATCTGTTTACAAACAAAGCTCAAAAGATGAGAGGCTCCTACTTAGAACTCATATTGCAATAAGTAATTTGTAACAGCATAATTTCTGTGCTAGTTGCGAGCCAGAACCCATTTCTAAAGATTATCTTCTTGAAGCTAGATATTAAAAATACATACATAGCTTTTATCATAAAGAAAAATAGCGTTGAAGTTTTGTGAAAAGACACAGTGAAATATCTGAATGGAGACTTTTCCTCTCTTCTGACATATTTTAACTCTGTTCATAGTAAGATAATATAAAATTATTATTATATATAATATGAAAAACATTTCAAGGGATGATTTTTGGAGTTTTAATTACATTAATTTGAATCTACACTACCTAGTAAAACCACAGTCATTTAAATGAAATTGATCAAGATTTTTTATGTACTGAAAATTATGTGTTTCTCAGTTAGTAGTTGGCCTTTGAACACATTATCATTTCTGTAATCCTTTTCAAGAGCACAAACCTTGCATCTACTCAAGAGCTCTGGTTCGATTACTTGTAAACTACAGAGGTTACAGCTTTTCTTGCTATTACCCTTTGATTTTTTCAAGGTTTCCAGTATTGAATGCATCAAGAAATCAATCCTCTTTAAAATAACTGTAATGCTGTCTTTCATTCTTAAAGTTCTTGAGTGCATCTTTGAAACCAATGTACCACCTTTGACTATATCCAAATTAAATTTGTTTTTTTCCTTAAACAGAGAAAAAAAAAAAATCCAGCATTAACAGCATATTTTTAAAATCTAATTTTAATCTTATTTTTTCATGAATGCAAAAAAGTATTGTATTCCTAGATTATTGTAAAGCTTTTAGCTTTATTACTAAGGGGACAATTTTAGAAAGTAAAAACATCATTATACGTAGACTATGTAAGGGCTTTAGTTACTTGGGCTGTAGTGGTGTAATCATCTGTTCTTAAAATGTTAATGTTTTTTCTGATGCTTGCCAATGTCACCACTGTGGGCCTCCAAATTGAAAGCATCTGTATGTTCATTTAAGTCGTATTACTGCAGGTATTTTCTTTCTAAAGTACATCCTTTGTTTTAGAACTGGGATTGCTTTCTTAACCTTCATTCCCTACGTAGATCATTGTTTAAATCTTTTGGTAATTTTTTTTTATCTTTTTCTGTCTTCCCAGCTATTGAAGTAAATCTCCAGAAAGCCCTGGCTGAGGCCTCTGAAACCTGCACGCAGGAGTGTCTCATCCTGGGCCATTCTGACAACTGCTGGATGCCACCTTCTTTGACACAGTATCAACAATCCAACACACCTTTGCCATCATTTGGCTTCCAGCAAAGCTGGGGCCGAGGAGCCAGGTCTGATGGACGACACACTCTTGGGAGGCCCCTTCCAAAGGATGACACTGACAAAGGCCAAGGTGGGCCTAGGCCTCAGTTCTACAACACCTGTGAAAGACAGTGCACCAGCGAAGATCCTGTCAAAGTCATCCCTCTGGCAAATTTTGCCATGTCCCACCAGGCAGCAGTGTCTGGGAGTAGCACTACGTTTATCCATGAGCACCAGCTATAAATGCATATCTGACAAATCGGCTATTTCAGGCTTTAAGGTGTTACTGTATATAGTCACAGCCTAACACTGTTCTTAGTGCATATACAAATTTGTTAGGCTTGTGAATATTTATGTATATAGAATCCTAAATTTAACTTGAAAAGCTAAATCCTTAGGACTTAGTTAAAGAAAATTCACCCCAATTCTTAGTAAAATATATAAAATGGGGAAGAAAACTCAAAATCCAGAGCCAATCAAAAGAAAACCTTAAAAACCTGCTTATTTTCTAATATGGGTCTATATGGTACAAATATCTGCTAGCAGGTCTTCCTCCCTGTTGAAAGCAATTCCTTAATACAGCTTAGGAAACATTGCAGTAACATAACTTTCCAATTTTTTTCTGTCTTCATTGTTATAATTTATAAGGTATTCATAGATTTCACCTTCCATTTGCTTACCAATAGAGATCAAGTGGTCAATTTCTTTTTTGGTTACCTTACACAATATAAAAAGACATACTTTGGAAGGATGGTGTACATTCCTACCAAAACTTACTTTTCATGTAATTGAGAAGAATGTACTCAAAGACATGACAGCTGCTTTTGATTTTAATTTTCAGTGGTTGAATCTACAGGTATTTATTCTTTGAAAGAATGCAGTAGATGAAATAGAAAGCTCTTACTAGGCTTTTCTGTGTGAAATAGACAACAGGACAGGATGCAATATAGATCTAAAAATATTACAAGATTTTTTGTTAATTTTTATTTAAGATTTTCCTTTCTGCAATAATAAAAGCAACAGTATAATGCATATGCTTTTCAGGCTATAAGTCTAATTTTTTTTTATTTTTTTATTTTTTATCTTGCAGAGCTTGCTTTGGCTACTGTTCCTGTTAGTTGAAAATTACATGGGCACTGCTGAAATCAGTAGGAAACTGGGGTAGTTTTTTGGCTGATGTCTTATTGTGGCTTTAAGCTACTGGTGTTTAAAATATTATAGTGATGTATATGTTTGTTTTACAGCTATAATCAATCACCTATTGCAAGTGTTCAGTAAAAGGTTAGTGATAATATTAGTTACTTCACCCCAAACTTAGAAGATAAAGGAGTAGTTGTCATTGTAGCTTAGTTTATTATTAGAGAATCACAGACATTTCTCGGCAAAGAAAGAGGAATCCAGGTAATGAGTGCTGGATAACTATAATTACAAACACACTCCAATCATATTATTTGACAAAGTCTCAGTATGATTCTCTGTAAAGATGAGGATTTTTTTTTTTAGTGTTTTGTGAACTGGATGGTATAATAGTAGCGGAAATAAAACTAGTAAATTCTGTAGTGGTTAAAATGGAGATTCCTTTCTTCAATGAAAAAAATAAAAAACACCACATTTTCCTTTTAGCATTCTGTTGCTGTTTAGCCATCATCATTTACAGTGTGTACATACCAAGATCTTTTTCCTTAACAAACTGCATAATTTTGTTTAGTTTATTACTACATTAGATGAGACAATTGAAGTTGTGTGGAGGGAAATTTGAAAGTTTATGAATATTTCCCATGGACAGAATTCTATGTAAGCTTCATACTGTAACTTACGTGTAACATAAAAATGAAATGAAATTTAAAAAAGGAGTGTAAAAATGCTGTAAAAAAGCTGCTTGTAGAATTTACAGAAGTTCAAGTTGTTGAGGGTTTCCAATGAATGCTAAAAGAGCTTCTATTTTGTGCCCAGCAGGTATAAGTAGCTTTATATATTGTTGTCCCCACTGTAAATCTATTCAAATCACATTTACATTTTATGTGCAAAATTAAACAAAAAAAAAGAAAAAAAAAAGCATCACTTTTAATCTACTGGTAGGGTTTAATTAATAAACATCAGATTATCTGACGATGTACTTCTGGGTTTTTTTGTTTGTTTTTTTGTTAATGTAATTTTTTATAATGTTTAGAAAAGACATGGCACACTGCTTTCTGGTTGCATGTAAATCCTGGGAGAAAAAAAACAAAACAGTCCTTTGGCTACTGACACACAACGGTTGATACAGCTCATTTTCAGTTCCAGGACAACTAAAAATTTGACAAATTAATTTACACCTAATATATACAGAGCCATTCGTTGTTTGCTTTGGAGACATCATAGTTAGAAAAATTCAGCAGTCCTTTTCAGGATATACAAAAAAGCTTATCTGTAGTTTACACAGCCTTACCAAACACATTAATTGTGCAAATTTAGAATAAGGCTGGCATATAATACTTGCTATTGTAAGCAGTGGACTTCAGTTTTTATTATACAAGTCTGCTATATTGTGTGTATATAGAATTGGCAGCTGCACTTGAAAACTCATTTTTTTCCTCTCAACAGTCCTTTCTGACAGAATATTGTAATTGAAATTTATTGGCAAAGCAATCCATTCCTACAGTTTTGCTATTTTCACAGGAAAAGATAAAGACACTAGAATTATATTTTTTTTCAGAGGCAGAAGAACAAAACAGAACAAAAAAGTTTAGCAAATTATTTCTAAAAAGAAAACAAACAAAAGAAAAAAAAAACACCTAAACAAATGAGCAAAAAACCAACAAAAACCCGAAGAACAACTGCTTAAGCAAGATGAATTGTAAAGATGAATCTGGTAATAGGAAGTGTTAAATGTCATATCCAGGGAATTGTGTTATGGTATTGTAAAATTCAGTCATCAAGATACATAACACTTAATTGTAAATACATACTGTATCAGGAGTTAAATGTTGCTTTCATTTTTGCATATTATATATCTAATATGTAAAATTATGCATTGGAGGCAACATTTTTTTTCTGTGGTCTGTTCAAGTGTCATGTCAGTATCCAGAGGAATAACGTTACTATAGACTCATTACACATCTTGCCATATATATAAGTAATTTATCTAGTGCACAGGCTGTATATTTTTGTGTAATTTTTTTAGTCACTTAACTTATTTTATCTTACTTGTGTGAATTTGTGAAGAAAACGATCCTATATACAATATGCAGTAAAATGGTAGTTACATGATTAGATTTGTTTCATACAGTGTAACAATAAATGAAAACCTTTGCCTTCAAAGTAATGTGTCACACAGTCTAGCCTAGATTTTTTTTTCCCAAGCTCAGTACATGCTTGTTGCACTTCCAACTACTGCATTGAGAAAATAAGTGGTAGCAGCAGAAAGAAAGACAGTTTTTTGATGATGTCAAATAGCCAAGTGTAAAAAAAGGAGATGAATTGAAGTCAAACTGTTCATTGTAAAAATAATTAAAAAATAATAATAATAAAAAGCCAGTTCTTTGTTTTGCTAAACTGTGCTGTATAACTTAATTCTAAAGGAAGAATATTTAGGCCCTGTCTGCTTGACCAAACAGAGGCTACAGAGCACCTGCTCTCTCAGGGCTATGAGGCAGTCAGATGCAGGTCATTTAGCTAATTATCATGGCAGTGAGCCCATGCTAATAGGACCTGAGGGCTTAAGAATGTTAGTGTGATGGCTTGGTTTGAGGAAAAGTTAGTTAGGTGGTTCTGAATACAACCAAGTCTTTTTTTTTTTTTTTTTTTTGTCTGGCACAGGGATGAAGGCTTTAGCCACTTTGCATCAGGTGGTATCAGGTATTTGTGTACCCCGTGTGTGCACATATGCGGGTTTTCAGTTTTTGTGGTGTTTTTTTTTCCCCCTGGGAGAAGTGATACATTGCTCTGCTGTGTTCTGGGCGAGCTCTAATCCAGTGAGGAACCACTTCAGCCTCAAATTATCATTGTTATGCCCGCTTCTAGCATGGTTGAGTGAGATAGTTGACTTAAATAATTAAGTCATTAATGGTTGATTAGTGCAAGGTCGTTTGATTCAAGCTTATGAAGTTTGAGAAAGCTTGATCATTTACACTTGATTTTGTTCTTAACAATTCTAGCTCAAGTTTTGCTTTTGCAGCTTTGAAGCTGCTCCTTATTAAATAATCATTTATTATATGATTACACTGCAGTTTACTACCATTATTTAATTAGGTAAGTAAAAAGGGAGGGATCGGTTTGTGCAGACACAGAGCAAAGTTGAAGGCAAAGATTTTATTTGGTATATGTAGGAAATTGTGTATAACATGTTATCCCTAGTGAAGAAAAGAGACTGACAGATTCTTGTAAATATCTGGGTTTGTATTTCTGGGAAATATCCCTGCTCTATGGCATACTACAGGATCTGAGAGTGAGCAGTATATGTCTGTGTATTGAAGCAGCCCTAACCATGCTTTACAAATTGTGCAGTTGGACATCATATATCATTGTCCAGCAGCTTTTGAAGTCCAGTAAATTTACAGTAATTCTATTTCAGGTCTATGTACAGCATGTTGTCTTGTTAATTACAATGTTTATTAATAAACTAGATCCACAAAAGCAGTTTTCTCCTTTGCACTGTCTTCTTTGAGTTTCTGAAACGCAGATTTAATTTTTTTCTTTTTTAAATATTCCTCCATCTCTGCTTCCTTCATTCCCTGCTTCTCATAACTCATTTATTTGTAAACCCCCAGACTGTGAAGAAGGAAAAGTTGATTACCTTGCAGTTGCTTCACAGAAGTGAGCAGCAGGCTTTTGATAGGCAGTAGAAATATTCACAATTCAATGTGTACAGCAGCCTAGCTTTCTACTATCAGATATATTTTATGCCTCTCGGTTGCTTCTTTTTGTACAAACCTCCCACCTTCTACTATGCCTCCGGTACACTTATTTATTGAAAATCATTACAAGCTGGAGTTTGGAATGTTTATGGGTTTTGTATTGTTAGAACGTGAGAAAATGAGCTATTTCTGATTGAGAGAGCATGATTAATATGTTGTTGTTGAGGTAAAGGGATGAGCCTCTCACTATAGTTGTCATCTAATGACAGTCCACTAGCAGTCAAATGAGAAACTAAGGAAATAATATTTCATGCATTTTCTGTATTGTTTAATATTCAAAAAGAGAACTTCTCTTGACATCAAGCAGTAGTATCTTATTCTTTGATGCAATTATGACTTTGGAAGCACAGATTTCTTGTCTGTCTGCTGAACCTCTTTCAAGAAAAGAACATGCTCAGCCTACAAATTAAAACCAATGAAAACAAACGGAAAAAAAAAATAATAAAAAAATCCATGCCATATTAGAGAGAAGGCATCCCTGGCTTGGATCATAAATTCTTAAGCAGTAGTGGTTTGGAAGGGCAAACTCAGGAAGCAATGAAACTCAAATTTCACAGAGCTATTATAAGCCAGTTTTAAGAATAATAGAGCAAGACAAAAATAAGCAGTATCTGAACATTTGCATAATTTTAGCATTGGTGTGTTGCAAAACTGCAGCAGGATTGCGGAAGTAATGTTCCCTGAGTATCATCTGTTCTCATTCCTTCCTGTGAGCACATAAGAATACATGGTGCTCTTCTCTGGCCGTGCTGAGAATAACTGAATCCCAGATACCTGTTGGGTAACTCTATAGGGTGCAGCATTTTCACCAAAGTGCTGCAGCACTAAGGGCTGATACAGTGTTCAAAGGCCTTTAAGACAGACTCCAAGGCTTCCTGCTAGGAAGTCTTCCAGCAAGGTAATTGCTTGTTAGAATGTACAAATGGATTTATTTAAAGAAGAACATGGGTTTACCAGTAGCATGCAATATTGGAGATGTGCTGCCTGTGTGATCATTTAGCACTTTCTTTGCCTTTTCTTCAAGTTTCTTTCAGGTGTGACTTTAGAACTGAGCTGCATTTGGATTGAAAAGCAGCTAGCTCCTCCTTAGAATGGATGGATAAGTATCAAGTCGAAGAAGAAAATGAGCACGAAGCTAGTTTCTGCAGTGAACAAAAAGCAGCTCTTCTCCTTTGTGTGGTGGTGAAAGTTGGACTTTCAGAAGATGCATGTAACACTACTTGCAAATAACAGGTATTTTTCTAAGATGTAATCTCTTTCTTCTGTCCTTGCATTCACAATCCAGCATGAAAATAAATCATAACTGCAATGAGACTCGTGGTATATTTCCATTTTTTATTATTTCAGTGATATAAAGGTATTTTGATGGTGCTTAATTTCAGGCTTAAAGCAGAAGTTCTAATAATAAATGCATTGCTTATCTGAAATGTGTCTTCATATTTAGGTCTAAGTAATTATTTTTTCAGAAGTTTAAATCTGAAGGTGCAGGCTTTTTGGATAACTTTTGTTTATGACACTGACACAGACTCTTC